AACCTACAGACATCGGTCTTGTTTAACAAAATCTGCCTACAAGAAAATCTGTCACCAAAGTACACCAACATACACATATTAAAGAACAATTTATAAACTTACCCTTTGCCAATTATCTCCTGTAGCACATACGTTGTGTGGGGGTCACCTGGATTCACAATTTTAGCTACAAAACAAGACAACAGTACTGTTATTAAGAATACAATAATGTCGTCAAAATTCATGACTTGCATATCCTGAAGGGTTAGGCAGAGATTGCATTACAAATGGTGGATAATTGCGTTATTCTACCATTAGTTAATTATTAATTTTGCTATACCATTATTTTGAGCTGCTCAAATTAAAAGATGCCAAACATCAAGTTCTTAAGATTATTATACATAATTCCAATCTTTCCTTTAAACATAATCTCCGTATTTAGATATAATAACAGTAATACAACCTTATGAACTCAAACCTACTCAGTTTTTGCATATTTTCTTCATCCGGGGATTTTTTAATACACTTGATCGACGAATGCTCATTTACCTGTAACATAAAAGTAATTTGTTAAAATACCAAATATAGAGCAGTAGCTGCCTGTTTAGTTATCGATCACAATGTAATGTGTAAAACAAATATATATGTCTGTTTGTTTCTTATTAAGCGTAAAGCCACACAATGTGCTAGCTGTACTGTGCCTAACACGGTAACAGATATGTCAGTCACAGTTTCAATTATTAATATCATTCCTTGGTGGTTCAGTGATAATTTTACAGACTTCAAATTGCTAAGACCCGCGGTTCGATTCCTTACAGATAGCCTATTGTGCACTTTTATATTTAATGAACAAAAATGCTGTTTGTTAAATTATTTGTCACAAAACAATACTTTTTGGCTGCATGATGTAATTAAAAAATATTATGAAATGAATTTTTTTTTAGTTTAAATAGATGTCTATACTACACCTATTTAAATCTTAGTTAATAATTTTTCAGATAATTCGCACGAAATAAAATTTCATTATCTGAATATGATATAGGGACAAGCTTAGATGACGAATGCAAACGAAAGTTAGAGAAATGCATAGCTTCGTCATCTTGAGACCGATTTGAGATCTAATTACAGTTTTGGACTTGTAGATGAAAAAAACACACAGTAGAAAAGAAAAATATTGAATAAAATTGTTCAAAATTGGTATAACACACGTCTATAACAAAAACTTTAATATTATTTGCAACGTCAGGCAGTTTAAACCGTGTTACATAAAAAAGCCTTTTCTTATGCTTGCACCGTTAATCCGAAGATCTGTGGTTTGTAGTATATGTTTCAAAAATGTGTTTCGCATAATTTTCGGCATTAAAATACCACTATTCTATCAAATAAGAGCAGCTCGAGAGTTGGCGGCGGGTGTTGTTAACTAGCTGTCCGAAATGTGGGACGGCTATGCGAGGAATTTATTGTGTGAGTTTTCGCGAAAATTCTGAAACAAACAAAAATGGATATCTTTTTCTGAACGATTATTGTGAAGTTACAGTTTTTGTTTTATCGAAAAGGTAAAAATAATATTTTACAGTACAGAGTGCTAGAGTTGTGGGAATTTTTTTTATCTGGTTAATGAGTATAATGATATATTTTATATTGGTTATAATTTTAAATCGATCTTACTCAAAACTTGAGGGCTGTCAATAGTTTTTAATTCTTTCTCATCTATAACATTGCTTACTTTACAATCGAGCCCGGCGTGGCCAGGTGGTTAGGGCGCTCGACTCGCAATCTGCGGGTCGCGGGTTCGAATCCCCGTCCCACCAAACATGCTCGCCTTTTCAGTCGTGGGGGCGTTGTAATGTGACGGTCAATCCCACTATTCGTTGGTAAAATAGTAGCCCATGAGTTGGCGGTGGGTGGTGATGACTAGCTGCCTTCCCTCTAGTCTTACACTGCGCCAAATTCAAAACAAACTATTGTAAGTGTAATGTTAATAAAGAACTTCGACATTAATAGTCTCGTTCTGAGTTTACTTACTGATTATGTTTTATTTTATTACAAGTTACAGTTTTTACAATAAGGAAGATTTGTTTTAAGAACAGGTAAGAAATTTCGACCACTGGTGCGAAATCCATATTCGTTAGTAAAAGAGTAGTCCAAGAGTTGGCGGTGGGTGGGGATGACTAGCTGCCTTCCCTCTAGTCTTACACTGCTAAATTAGGGACGGCTAGCGCAGATAGCCCTCGTTTAGCTTTGCGCGAAATTCAAAACAAACAAACAAACAAACAAAACTTTACAATCGTTTCCTCTTTTTTAAATGAAATATGGCTAACTGTATAGCTTAAAACATGAAATCTGGCTAACTATATGGCTTAAAACAAACACAAATATTTAAAGGATATTTCGCTCGTTAAAGTACAACTTTTTTGTGTTGAAGAAACACGCACTTTTTATTTTCTCTTTTTGACTTGAGACTGTTATTTTTGGAATGCGATAATAGAATTTTATAATAATACCAACAAGTCATAGTGCAAAGTATGTAACTTCAATCTCTGAGACGTTAAAAATAATATCTATGCCTAATTTTGGTCACTTTTATTTTAAATTCATTGTTACCCCCTCACTCTACCACCCCAGTGGCACATCTGTATGTCTGCGGAATTATAACGCTAGAAACTGGGTTTCGATACCCGTGGTGGGCAGAGCACAGATAGTCCATTGTGTAGCTTTGTGCTTAGCTTCAAACAAACCAACAAAACCTCCTACTCTTTGATAGAAGCAACCAAGTAAAGGTTTTATTTAAGGATTGATGCTGGCACATAACTTGTGAAAATAGCCACTTACAATTATTAGAACATATTGTGAAAATATACAATAAAGTACTTATGGAGCTTATTTACCATACAATGAATTTAAATCTTTTAGATGACGACTGCGGCTAGAACGAATATACAGTTGGGAAATTTTGGCTTAATTCAAGGACATAATCAAAGCATAAACATAGTTGTTACGTACGAATTTCGACAACTATTTTAATTACCTTTTTTTTTAAACTTAAAACACATTTCCTCGATGAATACTTATTATTAAAGTCATAATAATAATTTTCTTTGAAAACCGACGTTATACATAAGTTGACAACAACAACAACACCATAAAAGATGCATCTACTATTCTCTCTGTGGACATTAAAATAAAAACACAACAAACTACCACAATTTTATTTTACTCGTCACGGATTACCATCCTCAACAATTCAGTATTGGACACATGAAACAAGACCCTATAAATCTATTATAAAAAATACTGACACATAGATACAAACACTACTTAAATGACACTTCAAGTCAATGGTATACAGATCTAGTTATTCAAGTAATTGAATATAAAAGTAAGGAAGAAGTGTTTCAGTATGTAAGGAAAAGATAAAACAAACTGGTCGAGTTCAGCTCGAAAAAACTTTCTTGTTCGTTGATAATGTATTGCGTTATTGTCATCGCCATATTTTGATTATGAAAATGTCTAATAACTGTTTAATAGCAACCAGAAATTAAACAACATTTATATATATCAGGCTATGTATTGTGACACTGTGTCAAGTTTAGATCCCTCTCTGACCTCCTCACCCGATTCCGATACCCCACTTCCAACCACGGATGTATGACGTAGAAGCTGCGTTGGACTACTTTCTAACATGCCTGCAAAACCTAAATCGTATTTAAGAACGATACCACTGCTTATTATTTTTTTTCACTGTGAATTTCTACTCGTTATATTTAAAGCGCATTAAGAAATCAGGAAACAATATTTGAACAAATCGAAAGTCGACAGAAAAATTTGGGTTTGTTAATTGTACGGGTTAATTTAGAGTCATACGCCCTTCTACGGAGCTTGAAATGTAAGGACTCATTTCTGTATTAATGCGCTTCATACTTGTGACATTTGATATACGTTACCGGAATCGGCCGATAAGTTCCGAGCGGTTTAAATACGCACACAATACTAATGACGTCGCCCCCCAGTGGCACAGCGGTATGTCTGCGAAATTACAACGCTATAATCCGGGTTTCGATACCCGTGGTGGGCAGAGCACAGATAGCCCATTGTGTAGCTTTGTACATAACTACAAACAAACAAACTAATGACGTCGAATGTTCGACAGCTCCATGATACTCATAACGCGCATGCGTTACTTTGACTTTCTAGTACATACTTGTAGAAATACAACGAGCTCTAAATCTCTAAACTACAAACTTATAATTGTAGTTATTCTTAATGGAGAGCGGATAATTAAATTTGAGCATTCAAAAAAAGTTTCTTATAAATATACAGTGCCTTTCAAAAATATTCCCTCCCCTACCAATAATGTCACAATTTGATGAAATACAAATAATGTAAACAATTTTTTAATGCACTTGTTTTTATTCAAAACTGTAATGATCAAACTTAAAACTGTTATGTATGAAGGAGGTTGAATGTCAAAAACACCTGCAAAGAAAATATATAAATTGAAAGTTGCTGATTGCATAAGTATTCAACCCCCTAAATCAGTACTTGGTGGAAGCAATTACTGTTGTGAGTCTTTTTGGATAGATCTCTACCAACTTTGCACAATGGTATAGTGTAATTTTTGCCAATTCTTCTTCGCAAAATTGCTCCAATTCTGACAAGTTCGTTGGGGATCGTTGAGCGACTGCATTCTTCAAGTCTCGCCATACATTTTCCATTAGATTCAAGTCAGGACTTTGACTGGGCCATTCCAGGACATTCATTTTCTTATTTTGAAATCACTCCAGTGTGGCTTTGGCTTTGTGCTTCGGGACATTGTCCTGCTGAAATATGAATTTTCGACCCAGTTTTAGATTCTTGGCTGACTCAAGAAGGTTTTCCTCTAGGATTCGCCTGTACTTTACACCACCCATCTTTCCCTCAATCCTGATAAGCTTCCCTGTCCCTGCTGATGAGAAGCATCCCATAACATGATGCTTACACCACCATGCCTGACAGCTGGGATGGTGTTGACTGGGTGATGTGCTGTATTGGGCTTGCAT